AAACATACGGACACCAGTGCTCTCATAATCACTACAGCAGCTACTATATACTATACTACATGGGTTTGAATGAGTGAGTGCATGTGTGTATGTGTGTGCTAAGGTGACCAGTACCACTCATAACTCAAAGTTTGCATTTATGATTTTACTGGTAACTTTACATCCCATCCAATAAACTAGAATTTATGATGATTCTGAGAGTTGGTCCTTTGTAGCCAACAATTGGGTATCTGCAGAGGTTAATAGTGGAGACTTCAGGGTAAGCAAAAAATGGCACAAGTTACATAGAACAAGCAATGCATAATGTCATGGAAAGTGAATTTCATTTCTAAAATGTTTTGTATTGTGGTATTGTATTGTGTTATTTGGGTACAACACAGGATGCTTCCTGGTAAGGTCATTTCTCGTGTGAGTGTAAAATCTCTAAAACAAAAGCTATATACAAATGTAGATTAGCAGACTGAGTAACATCTAAAATGGGCATCTAAAATATTATGAGTATACTCTATTATTATATGTTAAGTCAGGACTGTCCAACTGGTAGTCTACAGGCTGAAAGCAGCCCCTGAGTAGTTAAGGTGTAGCCCCCAGGTTTCTCATCTGAGTACTGCTCCATTTGTGCGTTGTTCTTCAGCTGTCACCTTTGCAGTCTTTGGGCTTCCCTACATTCACTGCCTGACCCCACCCTTGGGGGCAGCATGAGTCTGTGCAGTGCAGTGCAGTGAGCCAGAGCTGAAGGAGACTGTGGCTGGGGAGGTAGGGGGAAGCTGGAGACCTCAGGCAACACAGTACTGTACAGTACAGTGCAGGGTGAGAGGGACATATGAGTTAACATCCTGCATTGTAGTGGGTGGTGAGGCATGGGATGTAAGCCTGCATGTTGTGTGCCTGGGGGTCTGCAATCTATGGCTACTCAGATGTTAGATAGCCGTACGTTAAGTCAAAGGCATTAGTATAACCAATATAACACAGCAGTTGCTAGTTACACCCTTTGGCTAGGGACAAATGTTACACATAAACTGGTTTAAGAGATCAGAAAATGGTTTAAACCTATAACAGACTCCCCCAGCATCTCAGCATGCTCTCTGGGCTGGGACGGGCTCTCTGCTCCAGCTGCAGGGCTGAGCCTGCCCCTCTGCTCTGTAGCTGGAGCAGGGACCGGCCCTAGCAGAGACACCAGCTGCCATGGCCCCATTAAGGCAAAGTGGGCAGGAAGAGGGGGGGCTCTGTTCTGCATGATGTTCTGTTCTTCCCTCCTTCCCCTCTTTCCCCACTGCAGCTGGGTTCAGCCTGTTTGCCAGGGAGCAGAGGGGAGGGGGCTACAGCAGTGGCCCCTAGAGATGACAGACCCCGGCTGTAGGGAGGGGACAGAGGGAGGAATTGACCCTTCTCCCAGCCCCTTCACCTTAACGGGGACATGCTGGGTTGGTCGTCCCACAGGGTGGGGAGGGGAACTCTGTTCTGTGCAGTGGTGGAGGGGGACTCTTCCTTCTCCTCCCTTTCCCCCCGCTTCTGTGGGACTGGGAAGGGGGCGCTCCATGTAATGCTGCCCAGCACCAGATTGTGGGTGGGTGACAGGGGGAGGCTCTGTTCCATGCTGGGGGGAACTCTTCCCCCTCCTCCCAGAGGGGCAGCAGGAGCGCAAAGCTCAGCTGGGCAGGGTGTGGGTGTAAGGCTGCAGGGGTGTAGGGACCCCCAGACACTCCCCCCATGGTATGCAGCCCCCACTGCCTGGCAGCAGCAGCAGAAGGGGAGGTCAGGGCACTCATGCTTGGTGCAGGCAGGGCTTTGGCTAGAGCTGCATGGCAGGAGGGGAACGGAGCTTGCCTTATCCCCGGGGCTCTGCTCCCTGAGCCTGCAGCTCCAGCACTCGCACATTGGAGCTAGCTGCTTCCCCTGCTCCCCACTGTGCAGGTCCCCACACTCTGCCAGGAGTGGAGGGAGCCCTACCCTCTGCTTTCTGGCAGAGTCCAGCGTGGGGCTTCCCCTCTGAGTGCAGCGCTGCAAGCACGTGGTGGGAGTGTGTGTGTGTGTGTGTGGGGGGGGG